TCCTACAGCTCCATCTCCACAGCTTGTGCACGTCCAGTCTCACCCCCCCAGGTGTCCAGTTTGCTAACGAGGACCTGCCCCTTGTCATCTCCAACAGCCCTCTGTGCTCCCGCAGACCAGGTGCAATGCAGCGTCTCTGCTTCCATTTTCTGTCTCTTTTCCTCCTCCTGTTGTCCTAGTTAAGGGCTTGCCAATTTTGCTTCTATTTCCATTTTCTGTCTCATTCTTTCTGTTGCAGTTGATTTGCTGCCTCTGCTAACTTTGGGCTTATTTTTTCTTTCTTTTTTTTTTCATTGCTCTTTGAGGTATAAAGTTTTATCTGTTTGTCTGTTTGTATCTTATTTTCCTTTCATCTTTATGTGGGTATCTATGCAGAGAAAACCATCTCTGCTCCCGACCTACCCCTGTTCTGCAGAGCGTGGAAGTCACTCACCGTCCCCATGCTCGGGCTCGGGAAGGTCTGGGCTCATGTCCTTACGTTGTGAAGCTTGTCTCGCCTTAGAAAACAACTAGCAGTGGTGAGGGTGTGTCTTCCACTGTGTGAGGGGCAGGCCACACGGACAGAGGACACTTGGGCCATGGCACCCCAAGGTGAGGCTCTCATGGGTGTTATGAAGTTGAAAGTAACCAACTGGAAGCCTTCAATGAGATCTGGAAATTTCTGGTACTCAAAATCTAGGATATTACAAGTATTGGGTTGCTGGAAAAGTCATGACTTATTTTGTCTATGCAAAAATGCCTCATGGCTTCTCTGGAAACCCAAGAGACGCCTCTACTTTATGAAACATATTCTGTCTTGGAGCCATGGATGATGTCATTGCATGACTGGAAGTTGATGTTCTCACTGTTCTCACTGTCCCCCCAGTCCCTCGTGCTGTGACAGACCTTGGCACGTGTGCTCATCGGCCCACAGAATGAAGCTAGAGTAAACGGTTGCTCACATGGAAGGTATCGCTCCCCGCCTCCAGCCATCTTCAGCTCACAGTTTAACCTACAAAAAATAAATGCTGGAGCTGTTAAGGTGACAAATTACAGGATAGGCAGAAAAGTACCAGACACAAAGCCACCCTAGAAGAGCTCCACACTTACCTTTGTTCATAACCGAATGCTGACCTAATCTTTGCCTGAATATGTAAAGTATTGTCTGTCTGTCTGTTAGCCTGCTTCTCTGGTTATCAGTCTAAATGTCACTCCGTACAGGAAGAAGTGTAACACCAAACTTGAACACGCCGGCACGCTCCGCTCTAGCAGGGTGTTATCCGAGGCCCAACCTTAGCTGTGTAAAGTTGAGATGTCAGGTTTTTAAAGTGGTTTTTCTCTTCTATGAGCACGAGAGAGACAGAGAGAGAAAGGAGACAGCAGCCCAGGGTCTTGAGCCGCCACCCCAGCTCAGCCCACTGCCAATCTGTGCACGTGCACCGCACACTCAGGGAGGTCTCCGCACGTGCGCTGGGAACCCTCCCTCTTGTGTCCATCTTCCCCATCGTCTTTTTCTTTGACATAGTTCCCTTCGGAGTCTTCTGAGTACTCAGAGAGAAAGGGTCCTGCCATCCGGAGCCCACTGACGTGTCTCTGTGCCGCCTCTGCCCTGCCTACGTCCAGGAAGGGGATTGATGGTCAGCGTCTGCAGAGCGAGACCTCTGTGCAGGAGGGAGCATGGACAGAGGATCACTTCTACTGTCCCGCGTCCTGGAGTTCGGAACTGCACACTCGGTGCTCCCGTCTCAGGGACGTGTGTGTGCTTACCAGATTCTCAGAGGCATCTGTCACTTAGCAAAAGGTGTAGAGTCACACGGATGAGAAGAGATGAGCCCGCACCTCCTGTGTACCCACGGTCCCTCGTGTCAGGGACAGTGTACTCCCTGAAGTCCGCGCCCAGCCCAGAGCTGGCAGCCGCCACACCCAGGTGACTCACACGGTGTGTGGCCTGGGAGGTTCAGGGCTGTGAAACCTTTGGCCATTGTGGTTGCATTTATAGCTCTGGGAAATATGGCAGCCCCTTAGGGCTCACCTCCTGGCTGAGAAGAGTAAGGCAGTGGGCTCCGACCCTGCTCTGAAACGGCAGTGGGCACCATGGCTCCGATGAGGTGAAGGAGGCTCTGCAGTGAGAGGGACCTGAGGTCTCCCTGTGGACAGGAGTGTCTGGGTTTTCCTCCAGTGCTGGAAAACATTACATCACACCTGCAGCCTGACGCCCTCCCCGCATACCTTCGCGGCTCAGTCAGGCGCTGCCTCGAGTCTAGGCACGCGAACAGAGAGCACTGCGGGGAAGGGCTTTGATAGAGAACTATTCTTTCCAGTCACTTGACTGCTTTGTCCAAGTAGAGGACGGTATTTTCTCAAAGTAATGTCATATTTCCAAGAAATAAATCCTGACTTGTGATGCATTGGAATTGCTGATAGAGTTCTTGAAATGAAACAAAACACTGTAATCGAGTGGCTCCAGAACTGAGCTGAGAGTCACCACACAGAGGCCTTGGAGAGGACGCCAGCCGGGAGGTAATGGCTGACCAGAGCCGGGTAACTATTCACACGCCTGTCTGTTTCCTATAGCCAACACCAGCAGGCTTTCCAGGTGGCAGGGCTGCGTGACAGGGAGCGCTCCACACGCAGATGTCTCTCCTCTGGAAGAACGTGGCCCTGCCCATGTACGCTTAATATGTTCTAATCTGCAGAGATTATTTTAATGGCACTTCAGTACTAGTAAGTTAAAAAATATGACTTGTACTTTTTTGGGTGAAAAAAATGTCCTGAATTTGTGCTTGAGGGAGTAAGGTGCATGAGACCATTTAAAAATCTTTTAAGAAAGACTTTTTGCTATAAGGCACGTGTGCTTTCCAGAAAGACACAGAGAGAAAGAGCACAAGGATTCACTCCCCCACCACCTGGGTGGGATGGCCACGCCGCAGTTCCCTCTCTGTTCTCCTGGGATTTGGGGCACACACGTGCACACACCTGGAGTGAGTTTTATGCCACCAGGTCCATGACTCGAACTACGGTTGACCACGTGGAGTCCAGTGCCATAAACATGCCATCTGCTGGTCCCAGGAGCTCATTTAAATTTTAAAATGACTCTAAACTTCTAATACAAAGAAAGGCAACTTGTTGATGAAATACCGTGGCAGAGACATGGAGACATACGGACGCCGGTAAGAATCAGCGCCCGGGGCTGTTGTTCATTCTTCTGATTTTCAAGAGATTCTTTTCAAGCAGCGCGGTATTTGTTAATGAACAAAATTTATTTATTTATTTAAAAATTTTTAGAGGTTTTTGCCTTAGGCTGCATTCACTCACCAGAGAGAGAGGGAGAAAGACAGACAGACAAAGTGAGAGGGGAAGTGGGAAATCACCCAGGCAGGGTTAGGGGACGGCCACACTGCAGTCCCTGCTCTTCCATTCTCCTCTTCCTGGGATCTTGGGCACGTGTGCATATGTGCCTGGCATGATTTACAAGCCACTGGGTCAGGGGCTCGAACCACAGTAGGCCCTGTTGGGAGTCCAGGGACATAGCTGCTATGCCATCTTCTGGTCCTGAACAGAATTCATTTCTACCCCTGGGAGAGGCGAAGGGCTCTGGACCGGCCAGAACACTGGTGCAGAGTGCACAGGCCAGATCTTGTGAGGGGTTTGGGCGCAGAACGGGTAAGGCCGACAGGACCTGGTACACTGTGCACTCCCGAGCACGGCGCAGTGGCGTTGCAGACCCAGCCCAGGCCTGCAAGAGCCGCTTTGCCTCGCCCGTCCCGCACCGCGGCTGGGAGCAGGTCTCCGCCTGCCTGGGGCCTCCACCTGCCTGGGGCCTCCACCTGCCTGGGGCCTCCACCTGGGCAGCGCTCTGCCTCACTGTGCCCGGGCTCCCGGCACCGCTCACGGTCGCTCCCTGCCCCGTGTGCTGGTTCCTCTCTTGGCTACTGTCTCTCTGTCCATCACAGCGAGAGTGGTATTCAGGGGACAGCAGGTAGCAGAAAGTGGCTGACGTGGACATCTGTCCCTTCCAGGTGCTGTCGCCCACGCGTGGCAGGCCTTCCCGAGCTGGCAATTGCTGGACGGTGGCCAAGGCCCGGCTCCAAGCCCAAGGCCTCTGTCCTTGGAGGGCCTCCTTGCTGGGGTGAGGGCGTCCCCAGACTCTGGTGTGTCCAGGCGACCTAAGCGGGACGGGCGTGGACACAGGCAGTGCGGGGACCCAGGAGTCCACACCCCAGTGCCAGGCAGGGACCACAGACTGGGGTCCCTCGCTGTTTCTCTGCTGGCCTCAGGCCCAGCTCGGAGTGTGCGCAGACTTCGGGAAGCCACTCGGGATTGCCGCCCACTGGTCTGTCGGTCAGCAGGGTGGGAGGAGGGCAAGTTTTCAGGAGGGTGAGCTACACAGCCCTGCAGGCAGGGATGGCACCATGCTGGCCAGAGAGAAGCACTGGGCGGTGGTGAGCCGGGGGGCGGGCCTGTCACAGCTCAGGGCTGCGAGGGGCAAAGCCAGGCAGTTGGGTCTCAGCCGCAGACCAAGTGCACAGTGGTGGCGTCTCCGCGCTCTGAGAGCGAGCTGGCTGCGGACGCCCAGAGGCAGTCCTACTGACCCACCAGTGGGGTGGCTGTGACTGCTGGGTCCTGTCCGCTCCTGGCAGGAGAGCGCTGTTTACACCATGAGGACCGGTTGGTTTACCCACCACTCTCGCTCTCTCGGGGCTTCCATCTTTGAAAAAGGCCGAAGGCCTGGAGGCTGAATCAGGACAAGCAAGAGTCTTACTTTTATTAAAGAGAAAGTAAAATGGGGTATTTAGAAAAGTATTTCATACATTTGCAAAATCAAATATCAAAATGCTCTTAGTGTGTTTTTACTTTTTAAATAAGTACCTTTTGGACTCTGAAATGTTTGCTACTCTATTTGCTTGTTTGGAAAAGCCAGGCTGTGGGCGTGGATTTGCCTCGGAAAAGCCAAGACTTTGCTCCCAGTGAGAGCCGCGCACTCCTTCTGCCTGTTTATCAATGTCTTTCTCTCCCCACAGTCAGCAGTCGGCTGAGGACCTTGCCCGCGTGCCTGCCAACTCCACCAGCAACATCCTGAACCGGCTGCTGGTCAGTTATGATCCTAGGATTAGACCCAACTTCAAAGGTTTGTTCCCCTGCCCCCAACTCTTCATCCTCTTTAGCTTAGAAATGAGTTTGTCTGTATAAGATCACCCTTTGAGATACCTGAGACAATATGATTTCAAACAGCATGGGACTGTCCCGTAATGTGCTCATGTTCAGAGCCATTTAATGCCTAAAATAGTCAAAGGTAAGCAAAATATTAACTATAGCTTTACATTATTACAAATACTACATTATTACATTATAAGTTTTACGCATTCCAAGTTGTTATATATAAAAACGGCATACTATGAAATAATAGGCCAACCTCTAGAATGGGTTTTCTAAGTACTGAGTCTCCTTTAAGTTAGTGGTTCAAAATTTAGGCTCTGGAAACAACTTCTGTTTCATTCACAGACACTGAAGTGGGCATTTGTACATTGGCCTTTCACTCATTTCTGAGTGTGCAGGCTCTTTCACTGTTGAGCAGTACAGATAATACATTGATTAAAAAAAAAAATTCCTTTTCTTTCGCTGAGTAAAAATGGCCATATGGCTTTTACAGACAAGTTAACTTTGTGAATAAAAGTTAACATAAATAAAAGTGACTATGTGTACTATAATATTTATTATTTTTATTCCAGTAAAATATTAGCATTTATCACACCTCTCAAGAACACAAATTACTTACAATAAAATGAAAACAAAAATGATGGCAGATCATACAGTTGCATAGACTTTTTTTCTTGTCCTCTTAATGAATTAGGAAAAACTATATTAAAAAATCTCTTCTGGGAAAGTTTAATCTTTCTTGCTGGTTAAGGACAGGTATTAATGTAGATCAGATTAACATTATAAAGCTTGATTTTTTTCCACTTTATAGGGAAAAAAAATAAAAGAGGTCTGCAGCTGTTTTCAGTCAACTGAAGCTGTACGACTACGCTGTGGGCACAGGGTCTGCTCGCCCCGAGCCTGCTCAGTTACCTGCAGCAGCAGTCTCCCTGTCACGTGGCTACCGTGGACCAAGGCCACACCTGTTTCTCATCAGTCAGGGCTCAGTTGTGGCTGAAAGGCTAAACCCACATTTTCCCTTTGTTAGACCCACTTGCAGCCATCATAAGTTGAAAGAAGGAAAGAAATTTGCCACTTTATATCTTTGTTCTCACTCCACATACTTTCAGGTTATTTTATAGCAGATCAGGCAAAAATCTTTCTAATGGCTCTGCTATGTGTCATTAACATTGCCTTTTCATGAATTAAAAGTTAAGATACAGTAATTATAAGTAAACTTCACTCAATACGTTGCTACCAATGTGAACATTTGAAATGGTTAGAAAAATGCAAAAAAAGTTAACCTTTGTTTTTGAAGTCTTGTTTAAAAGAATAATTTACAGGTTCTTAAAGAAAATGCATTAGGTCAATGTAAAATTATTAAAGTGAACATATTTTCCAGAATCGCTAAAATTTGAGAGAAATCTTTCTGAGCAGAAAGCATTATAAAATATAACTTACTCGCTTTCAGCTAGCACTGTGGTCACTATGTAGGGACACACATTATTAGCGATTATAAACACAGTACACTGAGACTGTGGATCTTGCATGCCATGCGGATTAGGAAAAAATTGAATATATAAATCATAAAGATAGAGAATTCTGACTCTTGAAGCTACTAAATGAATCCTTTATTTTCACTCATAGGCATCCCTGTCGACGTGGTAGTCAATATTTTTATTAACAGTTTTGGATCCATTCAAGAGACAACAATGGTAAGAATGCAATTAATCTAGTCTTTTTAATTGCCAAAATTCTAACTGAAGGATAGTGAAAGTAACATTAAATCCAAAAAGTAAGAACCCTAAGGAAAAGAATACATGCTCTCTCCTAGTATAAAGTATCCAAATTCTTCTTGAATCGGTGATTTGGGCACCTATGTAATTTTACAATTAAAATTTAGCCTTAATGTTGCACCAAACTCACACACTTGCCAGAATTAATGTCTCCCTTGAAAGCTGTAGTGGATACCACCTAGGGACGGCTCCTGTCATTTAACTTTTCTACTCCTGCTAATCGGCCCAGCGCACAAATGTGTTAAGTATGCATTTTCCTTCCAGTGCCCTGGGGAAGACTTCTGTTTTTTCTGTTGTACTAATTTTGTAATGTGTGGAGGCAAGAACTGTAAGAAGAAAAGCGGAAAATTTATTTTCATGAAGTTGGTTGGCAGAAAAGTCTAAGATGAGAGAGAGGACAGGACTGAGGGAAGGGGTGGAAGGCGGGACTTGTCCTATGGGGGCGGAGAGAGAGGGTGGGGGCAGAGGGAGAGGGTGGAGGGCAAAACTTGTCCTACGGGGACAGGAGGGAGAGGACAGGGCTGAGGGACAGGGGTGGAGGGCGGGACTCGTCCTATGGGGGCAGAGGGAGAGGGTAGAGGGCAGCACTCGTCCCTACGGTCCCAGGAGAGGGAGGACGGGGTGTTGCCGCCTGGGATGAGCTGAGCGCTAGGGACAGGGACGCCCCAAGGTCCTTAGCTCGTTTCCAGTGATATGGGATGTGTCTCTCTTTCAGCCTCTAAAAGGCATCCCAAAAGTCTACTTGCTTTTCACAGCTCTGGAATATTAAATATGCCTTTTTGACAAACCACATGCTGATATGCGTCTTCAGGGGAGAAAAAGAAGACCCAAGTCTTTTTGTGTTTGAGATCCTGCCATTTTTATTGAGTTATAGTGTAATGCAAGAATTAGGAGCTTGGTGAAGACAGAGCAGTCTGACATTCCTGGTATTTTCTCAGACTGGTGAAAGAAGGGCTTAGATGCTGACCCCCCTTCCGTAACAGCTTGCGTGCCATAAAAGCAGTCATATATTAAGTTTAATCTGTAACATGTATCTTTATACCTATCTGAGATGAAAATAATATTTACTTAGTTATTACAGGAGCAGGTACTCGAGCCCCTGAGTAACAGACTCACTTAGACAGAGTGTAGCTCTGTTTTGTTTTTGTTTTTGATAGAGGGTGCGTGCATTCACTGGAGGGAACATGATTTACGCCCCCGTGGGAGATGGCCTACCACAGTCCCTTCTCCTCCGTCCTCCTCTTGGGATTTTGAGCACACTGGCCCTCTGTGATTTTTGCGCCACTGGGTCCAGAATTCAAACTACGGTCAGCCACAGGGGGCTCCAGCGCCTTAACCACCACACCACCCACTGGCCTCCATGTGCAGTATTTTCGGAAAGTTATTTAAAAGACGATTGGGGATCAAGTCTGGAGTTCATGCCCAGGGCCTCTTCAGTTCACTTCCATGACACAGACCTGCACGACAGGTCCCCGGAGGGCAACACCTGGAAATACAACTAGCTTGTCTGAGCTCTGCTCTGCAGGAGTAAGCGGGGTTGCTTTCTCAGGTGGGACCTGAAAGACCTCCCTGGCGTCTCTGTCCTCCCAGAGCCCCGGCTCTAAGGCAGAAAGCCCCGGGCAGCATGCCATGCTCTCTCGGAGCGTCCAGAGTCATCGTTCAAGCCTCCACGTCACCCAAGGACGACCAAGGCACTTCCTCACGTGAGTGGAGCTGCAGGTGTTTGGGGCTCGGTAGCCGTGACTGGTGTGTCTGCCCTCCAAGGAATGTCAATGTCACCTAAGCATGGGACACTCAGACTCCCCAGACCCTCAGTCACTGCTGGGTTGTTCTGAGTCGAAGACGCCTAGAGTGGAAATGAGAAATGGGAGAAAGACCTTATGGTCACTGGACAGCTGTCACGAACTGTCTCCGTGTTCCGCCACCATCTCGCCTTGGCCCTGCTGCACAGATGCACACAGCAGGGGCCCCCAGACTCGCTCTGAGGACCAGATCCAGCCGGTTCTTACCGCAGAGCCTTGGCCTAACCTTTAGGGCCTGACCACTCCGTGCCTTTCTTCCGGTTCGGGCCTCCATCCCACCGTGGGTCCCTTACTTCAGGGGGTGCCTTCTGGGCTGTCGTCCAGCCACTTCCATGTGTGCTCCTGTTTTTCCCTAATGGACTTGACAGCCTTAAAGTTAGAAATAATGTATTCCACTTCATTGTCCATGAAGTGCCAAGCCAACAGGCACTCGGTAAATACCGAGCACATAAATAAATGATAACTTACGCTGGCAAATACTGAGCAAATACATTTTGCTGTTTGCTTAGTTAAGTAAAAGGATTGGCGGAGCAAATTTAAACAATAGACTGGTGTTAGACAGCTATTTGGTTAAATAATAGACTGATAATGTTATTATTATTGAGAATTAATTTTAGAAATTTTGGAGGCCTTTAGTCAAAGGAATGGGATTATTTATATTTTCTGTTTCTTTCGATCAAATAGCCTGCGTGAACATCAGTCTCCCCTTCTCTTTGCATGGGAACATGTGGCCTGGATGTCGAGAAACAGAGCCCGCGCCTCGAACAGACGGGAAGGCCGAGCGGCCTGGCAGTGCTCTGCCTTCTGAGGCATTATTTCACTCTCCCGTAACACGGAGTAGGCGCGTCTTCTGAGCACGCCACACTCACATGTTTGCTTCCTCTTTTCAAAGGCAAACGTCCGAACACGGTGCTGCCTAAGAGTCAGGAAAGACACCAGTTACTTAGATAGAAAGAGGCCTTCGAACAGTCCAGAAACATGCGAAACATGTGCATAGTTCTCAGATTGCTTTGGCACCAAGAGAAGCCCATGCTCGAATCCCATCTTGCCAGGAGCCTCTGCAAATCCCCTCAGATGTAGAGAATATTGAGATATCCTCTAAAGGGAAACTGACTGGACGGACCTCGTTGTGTTACTTGCTGTTGCAACGCGGGAAATCGTAGGGGCGACCCTGAAGACTGAAAAGGATTGCGGAGGGATAGCAGTCCTCAGAGGAGCTTCTAAAGACAAGCGAAGGAAACAAAAGCAACCGCAAACGAGAGGCTGGGAAGTGGGGCGGGTGACATTGACCCAAATCCAGGGCGAAGTAGGTCTGGAAGGTGTGCCAGCCTGGTCAGAGCCTGGCCTGGGCTGTGTCCCAGCCCTGCTGCCCCCTGGAAAGAGGACATTCGCAGAACTGAGACCTGCACAGGAATGGCAGGGGCACCAGGGCGTGGTGCTTCACAGGGCGATGCGGCCTGGAAGAAACGGGCGGAAGGAGAGCCCTCCAGGCCACGCTGCGCGGGGGGAGGTCTGCAGCTCCCAGCCGGGAGCGCCCCACGGGTCTGCGGGAGGAGGCAACCCTGGAGCTTGCCATGTGGGGGGGCTCCAGTTGGGAAGAATGGCCCAGCCTGCAGCTGCTTCCGGGCATGCACTGTGGGAGAGGAGCCTGGGTGGGAGCAGCCCACATGGAATCCGGCAGGTGCAGGCAGCCTCCTTCAGAGCGACAGCCACCAAGGAGGGTCGAGGTCATTGTTCGGATCAACATCATCGCCGGGAAATTCTAACAACTTTTCTCGGATAGAAGCTCGGTACCCCTCGGTACCACATGCCGGTCCCACTTATGCCAGGGACACACACGTCAGTATCAGCGTCTGCGTCAGCATCTGCGTCAGCGTCCCAGCCCCTCCAACCGCTCAGGTCTGGGCTCCTGGCCGTGAGTGGGGGTTGTTTGGTTCTATATCGGAAAGGCCACAGCTCCATGGGCTGCCTGGACTTCAGGTGAGGGACAGCCTGCGGGCTGGAAGGACCCAGCCTTCCAGCCCACAGGCTGGGGCACACAGCCATAAGGCGAGTCTGGGGGCCCTTCAACCCAGTGGGCATGCTGGAGGTGGCGTCCGCATCAGTCCAGCTTGCCGGATCTCGGCTCTTCCCGGTCATCCCTGCCCGGCTAACGTCAGGGCATCATGGTCGAGAACCGAGTGGTGGGGCCCGGACGCCGCTGCTGTGCCTGGTCCCGGGAACCTGGTACAGGCCGTGTCATGGAAGCTCCCGGCTCCTTGGCACAAACGGAGCCTGTCTGCCCCATCCGTCCCCTCCCGCAGTCACGCCGGCTCTGCGACCGGCTGAGTTACCAGTGCCCTGTGGCCACACTCTGCTCCTGTCCGCCCTTCCGTCTGTTCAAAGCAGACCTCAGCTCCTCTGGGCGACCGCTGTGCCTGTCGGGAATGAGACCCACACCTCCGATCGGCGGTCCCTGCTGGTGTAGAACGATTTCGAATGTTTCCTTCTCCGTACTGTCCGGCTCCTTCTGCTTTGTTGCTTTGCTACTAGTTTCCTCTGTCTCGTCGACTGTACTGCAGCAGTGGGCCTCGCTCCCATGTTAAAATCTCACATGCTGGCCTGTCTTCCCGCACATCGGCTGTGCAGTCACAGCCCTGCAGTGGTTTCGTGTCTTCTCACGTTCGGGGTCTGCGCCCTGTGGCACTGGAGAGAGGTCCCTACGGGTCCTGTCCTTATGGCCAGGCCCTGCGGCCTCCAGTTTCTCCGGGCAGGGCCTGTAGATGGGGTAGACGGCCCAGAGCTGGGCCCTGGAGATAGGCCCTGGCCGTGTGCTCACAGGCCTCAGAGGCAGGAGGGCAGGGCGGGTCGTAGCAGGGGTGAGGAGGTATGAGCAGGGGTGAGGAGGGGTGAGGAGGTCATAGCAGGGGTGAGGACAGAGTCCTCCGAGCCTAGAAGGACCCAGCCCGCAGGCTGTCCCTCACCCGCAGCCCAGGCAGCCAGGGAGCTGTGGCCTTTCCGATGGCCAGTGTGGGACAGACCTCCTAACCTGGTGGGTCCGCCCCAGAGGACACGTGCGTGGCCTTCCTGTCCAC